TTAAGAATGCTTAGTACAAATGATGAAAGAGCATCAAATGTTACATCAGTTCCTTTGCTCCGTCTTATACCCCCTCAGGCTTTGGAGTTCTTCTTATTACGCGAGTATTAAACAACCATATGTTTACTCTTGGTGTCTTTTTACCCTTTTCTACGGTGTTTGGACCGATTTTGTAAATTTCGACCTGGCAACCCTACTCTAGCCTGAAGTTCTACTGTCGTAAAAGCGGTCCCACCTTCTCTATTCAATTCCTCCAGTAACACCAGTTGATTATTTCATTCTTTCTTTACCTAAACATTTAAATATCAATAAGTTAAACTAATAATTCTATGTGACAGAAGGAAATGAGGTAATTTAACAACTGCCTGAGATGGAAGAGTAAGAAAATTATACTAACCGATGAACGTATTGCAGCCAAGTGCTGTAGAATTTCTCAGTATGACGCAAGTCTTCAAAATATCGCTCCTAAAAGCTTCGCGTTGTTAGGTCAATAGTTCTAATTATAGTTTAATTTCACTGCTTGTGCTGCCAACCCCCTCCTTCCCTCCTCCTTCCCCCTCTTACGGTGCCGCGTCATGCAGCCACATCTCTGTATTACAGCACGACACGGCTCTGACCGTATAGGGCGTTCCAAGTTACTAAAAAGACCTCATAATTGTTCGTGAACTAACTGTTTGTATACCAGTTTTTCGAATGGGACAATCAGGGACACAGGAATGGAGCCAAAAATGAGAAAACCGGACTGCAAAGAATCTGAAACCTCGACAAAGACTCAGACCAAGTTACCAAAAGATTGAATACCAACAATATGAGACAGTGTCAACTTACCGTGGTGCTCCATCTGTCCCATATGAGAGAAGGCCAACAGTAAGTTGACGCTAGTGAAGACCATGGAAGCTGCGTATGTCTCATCTGACCGCTTCTTGGTCTCGATCGCCGGGAAAGTGACCAGAACGTACATGATACTGGCCACCGCGCTACAGGTCTCCGCTGAGGGTTGAATCAAACATGGAGAAGTCTTACCGTCTATATTTGAAAGCCTTCGTGATCTAGCAGCTTTGGCGCTCGCCCGCGGATCGGAAGGTCGTGGATTCAGGTCCTCATGGGAGGCAGATTTTGTTTTCAAACGTGACATTGGTCCCAGGTTGACCCAACCTTGAGTGGGTTCCAGGTACAGTCCAGAGAAGTAAAAGCGGCTGGCTTGATGCTAACCACATCACTCATCAAGTGCCGTGTGGTCTATAAAATATAGGTCTAACTGTATAAACTTAAAATGCCTTAAGGCGCGGAAAGGGTTCTTTACTTTACCGTCCTATTTACCACCGAGTGGTGTAGGAAAGGGGAGGGAGGACGGACAGGGAGGGGGGGGGGTTGAAACTGTGCAGGTTATTATATATATATATACATATATACATATATATATTTGGCCACTGCAACTACACACCTGTACAGCCAAGGGTTACATCCATTCGACCAGCAGTGGGTAGAAGAACAATCATCACAGCACTATGTCAAAAGGGGCCGGAACATGCATTTCAGATCACTTATGTCCCCTTCTCCCGTCATTTCCCAGGGTTGGTTGCAGTGTTGTCACTTTGGATGTTTTACATCCAGATTTAGATGTTTTTAATTGCATTTAGATGGCGTTTTTGATGTTTAGATGGTAGATGTTTTATAGATGTTTTTCATTTGGAGCGAATTTATCAAATCTAACCTAAGAAACAGGATAAATTTAACCTATTAAATGCTATCTTGACAATACAATTTTGCCTGATAAGAGCAAGGAAAGGCTGTTCCACTTATCAGCTCCCTGATTGGGTATTAAAAGAAATTGGAACAGCTAAAGCATACCAGGGTCATTTTGGATCTGAAGCTTCAATTTCATCGTCCAAGCTAGGTTTATTATGTGGATCTTGTAAAGTAGACTTCAGTAAAGATAAGATCATGATTCTATAAGGTAAGTCATATCAACTGCTATGTAATTTGTGACTCTTTACATTTAGTTTTTGTTTCTAGATGTTTTCCACGCAAATATAGATGTTTTTTAGATATTTTTGACTCCGTTTTTTTTTTTTTTTTTTTTTTTTTTTCTAAGAAAAGTGGCAACACTGGTTGGTTGGTGTGGGTAGCGGTGGCTGGGCTTGCAGTTTGAAAGCGGATAACGAACGGGACACATGATGTTACCTGGGTCTGTTTGGGTGATATAGTCAACGCTGACCGCGTTACCTTTCCAGGACAGTTTCTTGTACACATTTTAGGCGATGTCTCATCCATCAATTTGTCTGTTCGGGCTGCTACTTAAAAGTTTACCCCGTCCTCCCGAGATACAAAAAAAAAATCCTAGTCTGAACAGCAGACCAGCAAGGCAAGTCCCAGATACTCCGTTCAACATCCTCACAAATTATAATTAGGGTGCCTGTAACGACAATATTAGCCAGGTTCTTCTTTTTCTTTCGTTCGCTTGAAATGTCTGCAGTGTTTACAAGTTTTGCCTTTATATGTTGTATTTGAGACAGTCTTGTAAGATGTGATATGTTGTCTCGGATGCCAACTCACATACACACATCGCTGATTCGCCAATCTTATATTTTGTGTACATATGGCTCCGAAGTCGATTATGTTCTATTCAAAGCCGTAGAATAATGACTTGATCTGGTGTGTCCGTTACATATTAATCGTCTTTTTCTGGTTTTAGTAGCTTTCTGATTGATTATTTTCTTTTTCTGTCGATAAGAGACTGTTACGTCAGGTTGTTCTTCATCTGCACCTTCTTTAGCTAGTTTATTAGCTATTTCATGTGCGGGAACTCCACAATGGGATGGTATCTATATCTGCAAAAAAATTTTTAGTTTGAACTTCACTCCTGTTGTGATAAACCAGCAAGGTGTAACCTGCACTCATGTATGGATAAGAATTCGGTCGAATTCTTAGTTAATTTCCCTTACAAAGCATCCGCGACCTTCCGGATTTGAATCTCAAGAATTTTGAAGTTTGAACAACGGATCAACATCATGGCACACGTGTAGCAACACATAAGGGCTACGTTCTCCTTCTAACTCAAGTCAGAGTCCGAAGAAGTTCAGCATAGTGCAGAGGGTCTGTAGCACCGGCGAGGATCCTGAAATACTTTGGGTAGATTTTAAACTCCAAATTTTGCCTGGGCAGCGCCGTTAGGCTACTTTTTTCGATTTCCAACTGCCAAGGGATTTTTTACTTGCGCAACGATGCACACAGGCGTCGGATCTCACTACCCAGAGACCATGTGAAATACTAGAAGTCCAAGTCCACGTAAAAAAAGCCCAGCCCTTACCGGGGATTGAACCCGGAACCTCTAGCACTCCAGGCGGACAACATGCCTCCAGATTACGCAGCTCCCTAAACGCGAAGACTGACCGGAAAGAATCTAGTCACAGTACTGCTGCCAAACTTATTTTGGCACCACCGTCTTAGTCTGCAACACCTGAAGGTGTTTGTGAAACAGTTATCCTGGGATTATGGGTCTTGCAGCATCATCAGCGACGGGGCCGCCCATTTGCTCGCTGGTCAGGACGCTGTTTGGGTCTGTATGCTTTGATCGCCTCAACTCTGCAGGAGTCCTTTCAAAGGCTCTTGGTGACGTACAATGCTAAGCCATTTTATGTGGCGCACATAGTCACAGTTGCAATCGGAAGCTCCCTCTTGTGGCAAAGAAAGACAACGAAAGAAGATACCTGACAGTCAATACTTCAGGTCATTATGGCGGGTAGGCAGGTTTACTTTTTCAGTGGTTTTAAGTATAAGGTTGATGTATTTTCCTCCACACGTAGACTGAAATGATGTAATTCCGTTGCCCAACTACCAAGTTGAATGCATGACGCAACACTATAAAACATGAACCTCAACTTCAACTGGAATGCTTTTCGACTGTGACCAGAGCGGTTTGTGTTGGGAACTGCAGATTCAGAAAGTAACGTGTGGCCTATTGCTAAAGAACTTGTGGTACCGTATACGATTTTTTGCCGGTACAACTTCTGATCTGCTGTAATTGCGGCTTATATCAACGAGGAAACTACATTTGTAGTGTTGGAATGCGTGTGTTGACTGCTGCCTTATACATTTAATGCGTGGGTATGCTGTTAGATTTGCTAAGACTGCAACCTGTGTAATTAATTTTTTTTTTTTTTTTTACAAGGGCAGCGATGATTATATTGTGTGCGGTTTTCGTTGTCGCAGGAACAGAACAATTCTGGGATGACCTATGAAGATAGAACTGCAATTACCCTACCATTCCTTACTTGACAGTCTTTGGCCGCGGTATGTCAGCAATCAAATTTAATACACCCAGCCCAACTGGAGGTAGAAAGATGCTAAGAAGCTTATTCAACCATTGCAGACGGCAGAGCCATTGTTGATGATGATGCTATCAGTGCCAAACGTGGACACTTACATCCTCCAATGAACGTAAAATTCGGACAACAGAGATGAAATGCCGTAGAAGAGCTGAAGGAGTTTTCTAAGGAAAGACAGAATACGAAATCAGACGAATGCTAGGAATAAGGCCAGTCTCCCAGGTCATCAAAGAAACAACAAATGAAGTGAGTTAGACACCTAACAAGAATGCCTTGGTACTATCTGCCACGGCGAGCCACACTAAAACGTTACAACGGGTATAGAGCGAGTGGAAGACCTCGGAAAATATGGAGTGATGGCATTCGGAACAGCCTTACAGAAATGAACATCAGTCTTAATACTGCTCTTGACAAAGCTCATCAGCGAATGTTACATCTCCCACCGATACTTCACTGAGGTATACGGTAGAAGAGAAGAAGAAGAAGAAGAAGAAGAAGAAGAAGAAGAAGAAGAAGAAGAAGAAGAAGAAGAAGAAGAAGAAGAAGAAGAAGAAGAAGAAGAAGAAGAAGAAGAAGAAGAAGAAGAAGAAGAAGAAGAAGAAGAAGAAAATGGTGATGATGATGATGATGATGACAATAAATAGCTAAGTTACTGCCACACAGTATCTTTAC